GCCAGAATAAACCCCTCTGCATCCCAGAAGACTGCCCATCACCTTCGCAGCTGATGGCACTGTCTTTGCCTTCTTGTTTGATGGCAAATGGTGCCATTCCATACTCTGCCGTTTTGTTTCAGGCTCAAAATGGTGAAACCCGCTTTCGTCACCTGTCACAATACAGAGCAAAAAATCATCGCCTTCGTGTCAATATTTCTGCAGTATCGGCAGTATCTCAATTACTTCTAGTGCTCTCGGCGACTTTACAATCCATACTATGTCACTCCTGATCACACACACTGCTCAGCCAGCTTTTTATACAGTTCCGTTGCCTTGTGTCACTATATGCATCTATATATATATATATATATATATATATATAGTGACATATTTTGTAATATATACATATATAATGGGCCACACCCACCTCCCACCTAGTTCACACTGAAGATGACACTTGCAGTATACACAAAACACTGGAACTTCAGTACATAGTGTGGCTGAACACTGAAAAAACTCAGTATATTCAGAAGAATGTAGCAAATTGGTCTTTTTTTGCTGTGTTTTGCAGTATTTGGTTGACAAACCAGGGTATTTCCGAGATATTGATAATGGCCTCATAGTGGGTAACCATGCAGGAATGCACCATTGGACAGTTGGTCAGAGATGTCGGATAGGGGGCCAACTGAAGCCATATTTTGTAGCAAGGAAAGAACCTAAATCCAGTGATATATTTGTGGTAAGTCAAACAGTATAAATAATATTTCTGTTGTCAGTGTTTAAAATGTTTACTCAGGAATAATCTCTCATCACATGATAATTCTTCACTTTTTACATACATGATCATAAGGTGAACTCAGTTTAATATCTCTTAGTATCAGAATTCTCCCCCCCCCCAAACTTACAGTATCGTTTCTTTCTTAATTTATGTTTATATTAATCTCTCTTAATAATATTCAAAATAACTATTTTGAATAGTTCTTGCTACTATAATTACTGTCTTTGCAGTTGAAACTTGTCCCTTTTCACCACAGCATGGCACATCCTCAGCTTGCAGATGAAGGTTAGCTGCAAATACAGTATGCGCCAAAACGTACAGTACTGAAATGAAAAGACTTCCTGTTGGTACCACTGTCTTTTCATGTGAAGGCCCCTTGCATGACAGAACCTTCTCAAATCCTGAAGAAATGGTCAGATCACCATGTCCCTGTAGCGTTCTTGGGTGACAGTAAGAGCATTGCCTTCCTCACCCTCAATGAAATAGGGGCCTAATATACCATCTGCTGAGATGGCACATCATATCGTCACATGTGTACTATGTAGCAGTTTCTGGACGATAATATCTGGCCGCTCAAAACCAAGGAAGCGAGTTGTCTGGCGACCACTTCCATATGAGCATAAATAATACTGAACTATGAATACTTTTTCCTCTGTCGAGAGACCCATTTCCAACAACAACTGCACAACACAACTTCCTTTTCACTACAGGGAACACGTGTGGTTGGAGCTGTGCCCCATCTACAAACGCACATGTGCGTTCGAGATGTGCAAATTTCAGTACTGCATTTTTGGTGTCTACTGTATATTGAATAAGCAGTCATGGACAGCCAATAATGTGTGGACCTCCAGTCTGGGGGTTGGGCTAGCAACGCCCCACCATAAAATAACAGTTTATTATGAAAACTTATTGCTTTGGACACTGATGGATTCTTTGGAATAACCTAAATGAAGGAAAATGATCATGAGGCTTGGTACGTGGAATGTAATAATTCTATAGGGTAGGTTCATTGACATCAGTTACTAAGGAAGTTAGATTTAGTGTGAGTACAGGAGGTACATGAGACAGAGGTGGCACTGAAGCAGTAGACAATTGTAATTTTTTCTTTGAAAATGGGAATGAGAATCATGAATTAGGGACAAGATTTTATTTACATAATAATCATGTCAGGAGTTAAGACTATTACATTTTTTGCCGAATGCTGTGCCGTATAGACCTGTTGCTAAGCAGTAACTCACCGTTGCAAGGTAATGCCCACATGTATGCAACAATAGAACAACTGGATTATAAGCAACAGATCAGTAATCATGCCTCTACAACAATATAGTTATTGTTGCAAACGTTTTGGGTCTGTCCAAAGTGGTTATAAAGAGAATTTGGGCAACCAGTTAGTTGATGATTGGCTTTTGAGTTGAGCTCTACAAGGAAGGCCAAGAAGAGATGGTGCTATTATTCAGGTGACATTTCAGTTAAGTAATATCTGTAGGAGAAGACTAATGAGCTTGCAGCAGACAGTAAGAACAATACCATTAGAGAATTATACTTGTATACACGTATAAATGAATTTAAAAGGAGTTTTAAACCTAGATCTAATTTGGTAAAATATGAGAATGGTGATATGCTTGCATATTCCTACAACTTAGGTGCAAGAATTACTTCTTCCAGATACTGATGTGGGAAGCCGCACATACTAACATGCAGCTTCATCTGTCTAACAGACAGCATTCAACTTCTGCTCAAGTCAATGTCACATTGTGGCCAGCACTCGTATTTATACAGCACTTGATGTCCAGCCCACCTGTAGATCATCACATGCGCTAGTCAATCAGCGCTAGCAATCGCAACTGTAACTTTAGCTCCACCCAACAAGCATGGTATGAAAGGCGGAGCTGAAAACTGGCTATCATCAGTTCTTCGATCGTCCTCACTATGACAAAGACATCTAACGCAGCTACACTGATGTCACGAAGCAGCAACAGACCTGGTCTGCTACAAAGCAGCAAACTACTAGCTCAAGCAAGGTCGAACAAACGGGGCCCACAAACTTGTGAGCAACTATTCTGTACATTCAAGAATAACATATACAATTGTTATAGTTTTACATGGTTGTCTCTTAGAACATCGACATCCCACACTGAATTTAAATGAGGTTAGTAATGGTTGACAGGCGGATTTACATGCACCTGAGCCATTGGTACCTTAGCCTAGTGCTTTTGAGGTTGAAATTGCTGCTTTAAAGTTGAAGGAGTATAGATCACGGTATTGGTCAGATTCTGGCAGAACTGATGCAAGCAGGAGGTGAAACATTAAATTCTGCAATCCAGGAACTTAATTCTATTTGGAATAAGGAAGAATTGCCTGAGCAGTGGAAGGAGTACATTGTACCAGTTGACAAGAAAGATGATAAAACTGACTGTAGTTTTATCAGGGAATATCACTTAACAGCTTCATGCAATAATCTATCCAGTGTGTCTCTGTAAAGGTTTAGTTCATATTGTGACGTCACATATTGGGGATCAAAAAATATGTTTAAAATCCCTGATAGATAAACATTTATCTTAATACATTTCTTATTCAGAATGGTCTGAAACAAGGAGATGCTTTATTGTCATTGATTTTAAACTTTGCTTTAGACTATGCCATTGGGAAGGACAAAAAAAATCAGGTGGCACTGAAACTGAATGGAACACACCAGCTTCTAGTCTGGTCTAATTTTGGGTAGTGCTTGTTACGCTGTGGACTAAAGGCCATGGAGGAAAGGCATATATATATATATATAACTGTACCTATAATTTTTTGTATAGGTGCAAAACTGGGTCTCTGACATTAAGGGAATGGGGATTTTGAAAGGGTTCTGAAGAGTATATTTGGGGCCAAGGGGGTTGAAATAATAAGAGGCTTGCGGTAATGAGCTTCATAACTTGTATTGTTCAATAAATATAATCATAATTATCAAATTAAGAAGAATGAGAGTGGCAGGACATGAAGCATGCATGGGGAGAGGATATGCTTACAGGGTTTTGGTGGGAAACCTAGAAGAAAAGAGACCACTAAGGAAACCTTGACATGGGTTTGAGGATAGTATAGAAATGAGTCATAGAGAAACAGGTTGGGGTGGTATGGAATGGATTAAACTGGCTCAGGATAGGATCGCTGAGGGGCTCTTGTGAGCCTGTTGATACATAAAATGTTGGAAAATTCTTCCGTAGCTTGGCAACTAGTGGCTTCTCAAGAAGGACTTGACTCTGTGGAATTACTTATGTATTAACAATTTTGTGGAATCTGTTCTTCCAGGCTTCTGGTACAAATCATCCATCACTTTTCACGCAGTTCTTTTTGACAGCAAGACCACATTGGATCCATTCACCTCCTCAGCCTCTGTTGCAGGAAGGGATATTTGAATGTGAATTTCGCTTTCAGCACACAAAGCCACTTGTGAAGTGTATGCTACTGGTTATAACAGATAACCAAATATTGATAACATTGACTAGACCCTTGCGAGCAATTACGCCAGGGCAGGTAAATAAGACAAACTCACAGAACATTCTAACAATTGTGTTTTAAGATAAATCTAATCCTATGATATAAAGGGGTAGAATTTTGAAGGTGAACCATTTGTTAACTTAATACACAGAATTCTTCATGATTTATTGGAATCTTCAGAATGTTCAAGCATCTGAAGCATATGAGCATTGGATATTCATTGAATTGGTAATACGTATATCACATGCTTTCAACAGAGAAGAAATTAGAGATCTCTAAATTTATTTGTAAAAGATATATTGCAAGTACAAATAATGCAAATGATTGGGGAGAGGAATACCACCTACTTTGTAGTTCACCGATGTTACAATGTAAGTCATATTAAAGGTTTTTTAACTTCATATTGTCACATGAAATGTGTATACTATGGGTTTTGGTATTACTTGGATTTATTGACCACTGCCCCCTCTATCTTTAACTATTTAGAAGTTGTTGAAGGGTTTTGCAGTCAGCTGTTTGATGCCTCTTGCATGCTGTCAGTTGACTTCTTCCAATGTCTTCCTCTTGTGTCCCCCTTACATGAATTCTTGTTGCACCATGGAAGCAGGCTAAATAGGATTGTGCTTAAACTCACACTTGTCTGAAAGGCCTTATATAGCCTTGTAGCAGACCACCTAGGTGCTGCTGTTAGCCATCACTTGACGGTTGTGTGCATGTGTGGCTCCCTATGATAATGATATTTCTGCAGTTTTGATATTCATAGTGTATGGATTTTAGGCATTTGGTCAGTGTTCTGCCTCTTGCGTGAGATGTGTACAACAACTATGAAAAGGCATTAATTATGCTTGTGGTATCTCTTAATATGATAATTAAATTATGCATTTCATCAAGTCATTATGAAATAGTAAGAGGTAGCAAGAAAGCTGTTCTATGCCTGGGATGTGGTTGCATTCGTTATATAGCCTTAGCATTGGGACTACGTTCAAATACTCTGTTATTACACGTTCTTTACAATACTCTGTCAGACCGTGCTCTGACTCTCTAATCTATACCTCACAAATTCCAGCAGTGATCCTGTTACTGTCATCCCAATATTGCCATGATTGCAGTGTCTTTCTTACAGATAATTAATGTGAAAATAAGGTGGCTTGGACTCAAACCCTTGCACATAGAAAATTAATGATTTATATCCTCTCAGAGCTAAACTTTTAACTTTACCAGTTTTTTCTGTGACATGCCAATTGCGAGAAATGGGTTGGTACAGATGATGTCATACCCCAAGAAAAATAACAGGGACATAATTTTACGTGGACTTGAACCAGATGCACATATCAGCAAAATTAACAGTTTTCCTGGGGTTGTCTTTACCACTTTTCTTTTATGATGCATCTTTTGGAAGAAATAGCATGAGCAGATGAATCCCATTGCTATACACAGTTCTTTGTTTTTGTGATCCCAGTATAGCTTTCTTAGAGAGGAAGTACTTGGGAAGTAAGGTGGCTTGGAATTACACCAAACATAGCCTCAAATTTGGTGGAAGTAAGTGCAGTGATGTGGCTGACATATGTATAAATAACACATACACATCCTCTTCTTCATATACATAGTGTCAATTGACTTGATCTCTTGAAATAACTTGTAATTAACAGTGAAGAAAAAGTGTTCTAGATAAAGGGGGTTTAGTTTCAAGGCAGACACATGATACAATATACAGTTTGTTTGTAACGCTTGTTATTTAAGAGAGCTTAACAGCTTGGAAGAGAAATTGAATATTTCAAAAGTTGAAGATGGAATGAAGTAACCTCCATAGAAAAAGACGTCTCCCTATTTGACTGCGTTATTCTCATTATGAGAATGCTTGTATAGCAGCATATGATAATTCTCAAGCCCAACCGTCATGGTCATTGTTAACAAAGATTTCCTCAGTATCAGTGACATGAGCAAAGTAACTGACGATCAAGAAACTCATTCATCCAGCAGTTGCAACTGTGCTTTAACCTCACCTATAAACACTTCAAGCACCTTTTTAAAATCCTTTTGTTGGCTCAAAATACCAGGTTATTCATTCTGGTTGATAATTGAAATATTTGACTTCTGTTTTGTTTAGTTTCATTCTTCTATAATCAGAGTGACAGTTTGTGATAACACTGCCATATAAAAAGTGATAGTGACCTTGATCTCTCATTAACAAAATGAAATGTTATAAAGAGGTTGTATATGGTATCATGTGTCCCCCTGGAAACTGAACAACTTTATCCAAAATATTTCTTATTTGATACTAAGTAAAAGAGTTATTTCAAGTGGTCAAGGTAAATGGGACATTCTGTATGTAGAGATTTCACTTCTGTGGTACGTGCTTGCGGAGTTCAGCACTCATGCTTCACGAGACCAGTAATCCTTGAAATCAGAGAAGAGGGTCAATAGTTCTTTGAAGATCATCATGGGTAATTGCCGTTATTTGATGTAGAATCCACCACAAGAAACTGCACTTTTCACAAAATGACAGTCATTATTAATTATTGTAATTACTATGAAGTTTATTCTGAGCACCATACCACATAAAAACTGAAGGTGTTGTGTTACATTTCAGTATGCAGTATTTTACAAGGACAAGGAGTGCCTTGGTAGTGCAAGAATCATTCTGCTGGGACCATCTCTTCAGAGCCTTGGACATGGCGGACAAGATGAGTGTTCTATAAGACATTCGGGGTTTTGATGGTAGTGTAGCATGTACATTGTATATCTGGAATTAAAGTATAAATTTTGAAATAAAGGTACACTGTATCTTACACCTTACTTAGTGTACTTCTTGATTTGTTATGCAGTTTATTTACATTACATTTTATCTGTGGATAGAACTCTGAAAGCCCAAATAGCCTAAAGGTATCAGAAAAGGAAACAAAGAATAAAATGTTAGTACCAGTGCGGAAACTAATTTTATCAGGGTGAACATATACAAGGGTAATTAAATGAAACAAAATATTTTGTTATGGAAAGCTTACATTAGTTTGTGGTATAAGCAATCCACGTTACATTGAGTCCATTGTCAGTATGACAAAAATTCCCAGACAGGACAAGCATAAGACATCATGGATCTAATTAGAGCTTTGTGGAGGCTCAGTTTAATGTTAGCGCTCAATCGCTCACTTTGGAATATACTCAAATGAATGTTCTGAAGGCCTTGGCTTGGATATTTTCTATGTGTAACTTTCTTATCGAAGATTACACCTATATATTTTGCACTATTTGCAAATGGAATATTTCGTTCATTTGGCATAAGAGAAGATTCAGGTGTTCGACGACGACAAGAGAAGTAGACCCCTTTAGTCTTATCTTCATTAGTTTTATATTCCGGTGCTCACATCACATCTCCGTTGAACTGAGACCGCGCTAGAGATTTCTGACAATAAAGCCCTCCTTGCGACCTGCGCATTCAGACAGCCGTCCCCAAAGAGTGCCAGGTGAACACCATGTGTTGGGGGGGTGGGGCATCATTTATGTACGAATTGAAAATAGTAGGGTACAGAACCGAGCCTTGTGGCACCCCTGCTTGCATTTCCCTTGGTGCTGACATTTCGCCTTCAACCGAAACCCTGAATTTACGTCAAGAAAGAAAGAACCCAATAAGCTTGGTCAAACTGTTCAAGAATTGCAATTTTCATAACTTATACAGCAAGCCTGAGTGCCACGTGCTATCAAAGGCTTTCTCGATGTCCAAGAACACCACTGCCATAGAAATTTTATTGTTGAAAATAAGGGTCACGTGGTCCACCAACCTCATACATTGCAATGTCATGCTGTGTTATGCACGGAAGCCAAACTGACTTGCGTTGAGCAGGCCTCATTCCTAAATATGTTTTTGGAGAAATTTCAAAACCACTTTTTCGAATAGTTTTCCTGCTGTGGACAGGTGGATAATCAGATGTAAATTTTGCGAGAATTTCGGGTCTTTACCCGGTTTAGGTAAACTTATTGCATTTGCTTCCTTCCAAGGATTTGGAAAATGACACGGCCAAAGGCAAGGATTGAATGAATAGGTTAGGTGAACCAGTGGTCGACTTGGAAGGTGCCTGAGGCCATCAATTCCACAGGCGTTTTGCAATTTCGAGGAATTTATTAAATTCTGTACTTCACATGGTCTGATCCTTTGAGGGGGGTTGTCATCTACGGTTTCCAGCAGAGCTTGAACTCTAGCATCCACTCACTGTTCATGGTTTTCGTTGCACAGGTTATGTGGCATGAACTGAATTTCCAAACAATCGGCAATTTCGTTGGCTTTTTCAGAAAGATAAAATTTAAGGCCAGAAGAACCATGAATAGCAGTTGGTGCCCTTGGTCCGTCTCTCTTAAGGAGAGATTTCGCAATGGGCCATATACTCTGAGGTGTGACTTCAGCGTTACTTATTTTTGTTTCCCACTGTTCAAGTGCCTTTTTTTGGGTCATTCGCCTGATTGATTTGGTGACCCAGTTGACTGCCGTTTTACACGCTGGATCCCTGGTTTCTTGCCACAGTTTTCGTAGCATCTGTTTATATTTTATCAAACGATCTACAGCAGGAAGATCGTTGTTTATGTCCGGAAGTGTAATTTTACTTGTCGACAACCTATATGCCGAAGCAATAGAGGCTGCAAAGTCACGTGCCACTTTATCGGCTTCTACCCCCGAATTAATTTCTAGTTTAGGTGATATTAATTCAGAGACGAGGCTTTGAAACCGATCCAAATCTATAAATTTTTCTAAAGGTTTCATAAGATTCCTAAATTTAACGTGATCCAGTATGTGGAATACTATTGATAGGTGATCTGAATCCAAAACATCAGAGATGACATCTGACACTGATATTTTGCTGAACCACAATGTCCAGCATGTCACCATTTCCCTCGGGAATAATGAGTGGGGTACCGTGGTGCTGAAATTTCGAATTCACTCATATGAAACAAATTCATGAGTTTCTCGCTTGATGAGTTTCAAACTCTGCCGCTCCAAAATGGGTGTTTAGCATTCAGATCACCTGCCACAATAGACTTAGTCTAAAGCTTAAGGCCGTGTCATAGCTCAAGCGGTTAATCGCTGGCTTCCCATCGCGGCGGCCCGGGTTCGATCCCGGGTCTGGTCAAATGGGATTTGTGGTGGACAAAGTGGCGCTGGGGCAGGTTTTCACCGAGTACTTTGGTTTCCCCTGCCAATCGTCATTCCTCCAATTGCTCCACAATCACCTTTACCTATCATCTGGGGCTGGTACAATATGCCAGAAGTGGCCGCAGTACAAGGGACTTAGTTCCACCCCACTAGCTATAAAAAATAATAGTCTAAAGCTTAAGAGCTCGGTGATGTCAGCATCACTCCAGGCTCTGCCTGGAGATTTATAAACAGCTGCAAGCAGTACTTCACTATTACCAATTGGTATGCAAACCCTTGTCGCTTCTATTGAAACAAGGGGTGGTAGGTCTACTTGGTTGTGGGGAAAACCTTTTCTAACTGCAACGGCAGTTCCGCCTTCTTCCGATTCTATAAAAGTGGTAATTTGGAATAAAGAACCTCTCATGAGTTTTCAGATGTGTCTCTGAAAACAGGGCCACATCTACGTCTAGGTCTTGTAGCTGTTTGCTGAGTTCATAGCGCTGCCTCCCAATGCCATTCGCATTGAATGCTATGCCTTTGAGGAGCCTATGAACTCTAGTGGTCATTTTGATTCATGAGATTTAATACAATTTTTGTAATGGCCACTATTTTGTCCTCCGCAGACACTGCACCATTAAACTCTCTCATGATCTGCTGTACTACAGTCACTACTCTCAACATATTGTCGAGAGGTTGAATATTCACATGAGGAGCCTGAACTGACTGACCTGTTTTCTTCTGCACTGCAGGGCCGGTACAGTCTGCTTTCTTGTCTTGGGTGGACAGGCCACCGGAACAAGGGTTAACTGAGGTTGCTGCTGCCGCTGTTCTGCGCTGCCACTCAGTGCTGCCGCGAAGGAGACACCTGGGGTAATGAAGTTTGAGAACACCCTCCCCATGGTAGTTTTTGGTGTTCTCTGTGCCTTCTTTCTGCTGCTCCTCCTTGGCATGTTTGCTACCCTGATAATTGGCGGGATGCGGTTTGTCTTCTTTCACCAACCGGCAGTTGCAGCATTTTGGGGTGGAGGCAGAGTTTCCCTTACTGGGCACCCCTTGTGTAGGTGGCCGCCTCCGCACCACAAACGAGGAGTTTGCTTGCAGTTTGCCCAAACGTGGCCGAACTGCTGGCAGTTGTAACACCGCATGAGCCCGTTTTGTGCTTTGTATGTCTCTACCCTGATGGCAATGTGGCAGAGGTTGGTCAGTCGGAAGAGTCCGTGGGACTTCTCCGTTCTCCGTTCATGAGGTGTCCAATGACTGGTTGTCATTCGTTTGACGATACTGACGTCAAAACCCAGACTCACCAGGCCGTCAGAGATACCCTCAGCTGGAGTATTCTGTGGAAGGTGATGGATGACAGCTTTGATCGGTTTTTCTGATTTCGGAAAATATGAAAGGTTGTTATCCTCTAAGAATTTCTTGATGGCTGAAAAGTCCGCCATTTCTTTTGTGACAATTCTGGTCCCGCTCCTGATGTTGTGGAACTCAAAATTTCCCGTTAGAATGCCTTTGACTTTCCTTTGCAACTGCATCAAGTTGGTCATAGAGGTTAGCACAATTGGAGGCGGCCTACCTGTCTTGTACGATGGCTGCCGCTGTTCTTTGTTTGTATCCTCCATGATGTCCATTCCTGATGTCTTCAGGGCCGTGAAGAAATTTTTAACAGTACCTCGCCCGGGGACCATATCCTAGGGTCCCTCGGTCTAGGTGTCGGCTTTGGTCTTTTCGGCTGTTCTTCTGAGGAGTTTCGCTTGCGTCTTCTTTGTTCGCGAAATTCATCAGGTGATTCCGTGTGTTCTGGGGGAACGAGTCTCACATTTCCCTGTTTATGTCAGTGTACATGCCCAAAATGGCTGTAAAGAGCGCCTTTCCATCGAGGTGCTTACAAAGCACTATCCTCTCGACCTCGGATTTGATGATTAGTTCCTTCCATACTACGCCGTTTTCATTAACAGAGGGTGATGTAAGGATAAGCTGCCCTGTTATGTGTAGGCCATTACGCAGTAATTCTATTTCTTTCCGACAGTCAGGATTCATTGCTTTTAAGTCATCGTGCGTCTTCTCAAAGGACGCCACGATTCCCTTCCAGCGTGTTTCACACACTGTCGGCTCCATCATTTTGCCTGCTTACAAGTCCGTACTCAGACAGGACGAACCTACCACTGACACACCAGCCGCACCACTCTTGTGTTAGTTTGTAGTTGCAATTCAATCAAACCGCAGATATTGAATTATATCCTAGAAGGAACGCACACACCAATGAGCAACAGACTCAGTCTTAGTCACTGCCAAATTCGGTCACAAAGCATGAAGTCACTAAACCCCGAACACACACTACAATTTAATTAGCATCAAGAAATTTTAAATAATTTTTAAAAACTTTACATTCCCAGGAAACTGCTGTGTTTGTGAAATGTTCTATTTTGTGTATTATGCATTGTAACATATAAGTGTACGTACTTTACGTCTGAACAACTTATGTGAAGGTGGTTTCCTATTTGTAGTGATGTTTGCCCTGTGAAGATGGTCCGCAGAGACCGAAACATGTAAGGGTGTTAAGTGTTTCATGTAGTAATAAACTTACAGGTCACATTGGACGGAGTGATTTATATTTGTAACATACTACAATCTTCTCCACTAAACCCCAAACACACACTCAATAACCGATGAATCTCATTT